CCAAAAGTCTACAGAAATGGCTGCTGCTGGAAGTCTGAAGGCTTCATCTGATTGATCGTTTAATTGGCCTAATTATCTTATCGACACAGTTTAGAGGAAAAGGAAGCTAAATTTGTGGACGCCGTCTCTCCCATCCTCTCTGTCTCCTGCTGAATCATGCTGCGGGATGATTCAAGCGTCCAGTCTCTGCTTTTATACTATCCGCTGGTGTTTATTCATAGCTTCGTCTCCAGAGAAACCGCAGGAAGTGTGACACACAACATCAGAATGGGAACTAGGGGAAGTGCGACTGAGAGACCAGATCAACAAATACATGAATATAAGTCTATAAAGCTTGCATTGGGTGTGTGTGTGTGTGTGTGTGTCATATTTGCATTATCTAGGTGCTGTATGTGTGAGCTCAGCGCTCATAATGAAAACATGATGACAGGTCTGAATGAGTAGAATAGTAACCAAACATCTGTGCAGTCCTTGAAAGAGCTTTATTTACTCTCACCCCTCGAGTCATAAAAGGGGTCGGTTGTTTTTATTCCCACAGACAGTCTGTTTTATAACTGCCTTCTTTATAAGGTTTGTAATTGGCATTGATGGTTTCATGAAGAACCTTTAACATCCATGGAACCTTTCCATTCCACAAAAGGTTCTTCGTAGTGGAATAAGATGACATTGTCTGGTAGAACTTCTAAAGTCTGACTCATTCTATAACAATATTTGCTCAGGGTGTTAATTTGATAACCCTGATGAGTTTCCTGCTATTTTATTGTGATTACAAGCCCCTCACCTGACAAATGCGTCCCTCTTAAGGCATGACAACAGATAGGCGTTCTGTTGTAACCCTGTCATTTAACAGTTTTGTTTTCACTGCAGGTTAGGCATACACTGTGGGTGGACTTCTTACAAAATACTTGTTTTTGGTAAAGTCTATAACGGGTGTTTGGTTGAAATCTCTAAATGGAGCAAGAGAGAAAAACACTTGGATTCTTGGGAAAAGAAGGGTTTTACCAGTTATTAGGATTACTGAGGAATTAGTTTTTTCATTTTTATTTATATTTTTATTGTTAAATCAAAAATATGTATCCTAAACAAATGTCATTAAAGCAAAAGGTCATTAAGGGTACTTTAAATCATGTAAAAACTCTAAAGCAAATTGGTCTTTTCCTTCCCAATTTCATGATTACATTAAAATATAGTTATCATTTTCATTAATAAAAGTATAATTTTGATGCATTTGTGATATAAATATTATTAGAAATAGCTTTATTTAACTTGATCTGACATGCAAGCATTCATTAATCATTCATGAGTCCACCATTTTCATCTTTGTCCCTGACCAGTTCTTAAAAAGGCAATATAAAATAGAAATTAAATGAATTTTCACAAGTATCACGTATAGGATAATACATTCAGAACAATATCCAAACCAGTACAACCCACCAAACAAACAATACTAAACAAAACAATGCCTCTAACGACTGCTGTTTTGATAAAAGTTCATCGCAAACAGAACTGTAGAAATCGAATTTGAGTTTATTCATAAAAAGGAAAAGAAAGACAACCCTGAGACCGAATATTAACTTAATTTTATATTAATGTGCCATTCATTTATTGCTATTTGGCAACCAAAACAGCCAGTTAACTAAAAAAAAACAAAAAACACAATATTACTTGGCAGAAAACAATATGATTATTTTGATTGTTTTTATGTATTTTAATAGTTTTCAGATTTTATGAAGAAAAAGTCACTGTTCTGATGCTAGAGTGATGTGGGTGGTTGCAGGACATATTTTTTATTGCTAGGGTATTCTGAGAGATTTTTTTTACTGGCAAAAGTGTCTATATGGCTCAGGTCTCACACCGTAATCATTTTGAAATGTCTTGCCTACACTCTCAGAAGAAAAGAGTTCAAAAGCTGTCACTGGGGTGGTACCTTTTCAAAAGGTACACCTTTGTACCTAATGGTCCATTTTGGTACCTTGAAGGCACATATCAGTACCTAAAGTGTACATATTAGTACCTAAAAGGTACAACAGTGTACTTTCTGAAAAAGGTACCACCCCAGTGAAAACTTTTGTACCTCCTGTTAACCAGAGTAAAAATCATTGTAACACATGGCCTCTCATGGTTTATTTTTTCTCTATTTCCTTTGCAATGTGTGAAAGGTCTTTCTTTTTCAGCATGAGCTGTTCCAGGGCATGAAGCTTGTCTCTAAACAATAATAATAAATTTGTTCCTATCAGTGAAAAAGTCCTTGAGTTTGTATATTAGGCGTGTATACAGAGAATCAAGCACTTATCCTGGACACATGCTGTTGTTGGTCTTCTGTTTCCAGGGATTTAAAGTCAAGGAGTCAAAACCACATTACAAACCCAAACAAGTCTGATAAATCCTGGATAAATCTTTTAAAATGTGGGCACACACAAACACTTAACCCACTTACCCACCCCAAAACACACACCCCTGCACTTAGGTCTGGCTTAGTCTCTCAGTGACTCACAAATATAAATCACACACTCTTAATGGCTGTAGAGTGTAACATTAGAGCCTGGTCAGGTGGTGTGTGGGTTTTTGTGTGTAGACTTCTAAAAACATTAGCATATTTGGGATTGCCATGATACCTGGAAAAACTACTAAAAGATCCAGTACCTGTTACTCTCCCTGTATACAGTAGATAATGCTCTTTTATAAGGATATTTCACATAACGATGCACTTATGGCATATATCAGTGCAAATCCTATATTTTTAGTGTGTGTGTGTGTGTGTGTGTGTGTGTGTGTGTGTGTGTGTGTGTGTGAATTAACCACTTTAACACTATTGGCATGGATCCCATATTTCTAATCTCTACTCAAGACTTCTGCAAAATTGGCATATATGGGACTGCCATGATACCTGAGAAAAACTAGCTACTCAAAGATCCAGTACCTGTCCCTGCATACAGTTGATAACGCTCTTCTATAAGGATATTACATAATGATGCACTTATGGCATATATCAGTGCAAATCCTATATTTTTAGTGACTGAAACTTTTCAAAGAAAATGTCCTTTATGGGTGGCTGCCAGTATAACTCAGCATTTTTAATGAATGCAGTATTGCTCACATAATGGAAGTACATCTCCAAAGTGTGTCTGCTCTAATATTGCAGATACTTGGGAAGGTCTGGCAGACAAACAGAAAGGAGGCCATTAAATGAAATAAGTGGGATGTCATTACTAATTCAATAACATTTAACCATTTCTATGCATTTCGTTTTATGTTTAACACACTGCAGTAAAGTAAAGTAAAGTAAAATAAAATAAAATAAAATAAAAGAAGAATGTTAAGAAATGCAATATATAGAAATAACAAATCTGGGGAAGTTAGGCAGTCCATATCTAATATTGTTGCGACTTGCAGTAAATTTAAATTAATAATTTATTTATTAATTTACCGAAAGTGCATATATTTTTTATAGATGCAGTGCCAAGGACCCCACCACAATGACCAGATTCATAAATGCCTTGAAAGTGTTGAACAGTACAGTTACAATCACAGCTCTCCCCTCTGACTGAGCAAAGGAAAGTCAAATATAATGGAGGACACAAGGCCCAATTTACACACATGTCAAGCTTGCATTCCCCATGTTATCTCTAGTTTGTGTAACTGGAAAACCAGAACATTCCATAGTACCACAGGGATTATTGCTCCTTGCTTGAGTCAATGGGTGATAAGCAAGAACAACAAGCCACTGTCACACGGCTGGTTTAAAAAAAAAAAAAGTGTGGACTCTCACAGATATTCATCGATGTAGCATTTGGATCAGTTCAGTTCCCATCCTCATATTCCATGACCTGAACTTACTGGTTAATAAACCTCAAATCCATCACTTCAAATCCATGTGTTTTATCTCTTTATATTTGGTATGTAGCTATATAGGGTATATAAACCCCTCAAGGACACTAAATGTTTTCCACTGCATGTCGACTATTAAAATAGCATGTAAAGTCTAGTAAAAAAGTATGAAAACCAGCAGAGGTAGTGACAGCGTATGAATGTAATTATTCACCGTTGTCCATTGTTATTCCCTGATTATCCGAACACTCTGAACTATCTCTCATATCAGGAGGAACACTCAACACTCTTTCAGCCCTCCCTCTTTTTTTTATTGACTTCCCATTTGATGACCGATGAGAGGGAGAGAGGAAGGGAGGGGAATCTCTTGTAGAGGAATTCTGCAAATTCCTGGAGGCCTCCCAAAGGCCAGCTAATGGCCAGACTCATTTTCACACAGACGGTATCAGAGAGAACTGAGAGTTACCATTTAACAAGTTTGTATGGCTCATTCCCATAGCAACCACCAAAGAAAATGAACATCAATTTCCAAATGAGCCAAGAAAAAAAGCCCCTCCAACTATCTGTGCTTGTTTATTTGAACAGCCACAAATGAAAACATTACATGCAGTACTGTCACTGGATAGCAATATTCCTTTACTGCCTGCTCTATTGCATTAGAAACAATCCAGAGTTCAAACTTCAAAGTCAAACTAATTCTATTATGATCATGTGTTTGCAGTTTAACCATGACTGTAATAAGGATAAAGACATTATTCCAGTTTAAAGTGTTACAGTTATACAAGAAAGTATGACTCCTCTGTCTTTATGGATACATTTGACTTATTAGACCAATCTGCAAAACAATAAGACTATTTAAAACCCTTTTCCATTTATTAAACACATTTTTATTTTATTTTATTTTACCAATATGATTAACCAACATGATCCAGCCACATAGCTTACAAACCTACTAGCACAATTGTATATATTTTTTCTCAACCACGCTGGTATCCATGAGAACCAAACATAGCTCTGCTTGAGTCTGTATGACTAAGTACCCTGTGGTTTCCCTGCGCTTTTACGCACAGTGTGCGCTCTGGGTCTGTCGCTGTCAGAGGGGCGCGCCTGACGTAGCCACGCAGAAAAAGGGCGTAGTATTTCCATAATGAGACTCTTTAAAGCTGCTGCTCCATACAGCATATGAATCTAGTCGCAGGGATCTGGACTTTGGAAATACGCAGTACTTTTGACAGGAGTGGCGCGGCTGCATTTCGGCGTTTTCATCCATTTTTGTGGACTTACTTTCGCTTTGCTCGCAGTAAGTTGGATTTATATTGCAGTACAAACGTACGTTGCCTGTTTATGAGTATTAAAAAGTCCGGGGCGGATGAGGGAGGAGAGTAAATCTTGCCTTCAGGATAAGCGAAGCCACTTTCATGCTTTGATTCATCTATACTATGATATCTAGGCTAACTTTATAGAGAGACACTCATGTCGTTGCCTAATTATTATAGAATATGTGTTACGCTGGTTTTGCACTTGTCAACTTCGTTGTAACACTCTTTTGCGCCAAAACTGATGGTGTACATGGTGTCAACTAACTGCGTTCTGAACTGCAATTATTGGAAGATCAAGAAAGTTTTAAGAAATCAAAGACTAATTTATATTAAAAGACATGTACCATGTGGCAATCGGCTTTTAATGTTTATTTTTTTTCTTCTTTTCCCATTACAAAACGCTTGAATATTATATTATACTATATTATATTATATTCAACTCCAGTGACACAAACATATTATTTATTAATATTTAAATACATTTTTTTTTTATAATTATTAATAACCTGAATCCTATAGCAAAAATAATATTAAAGGGTTATGTTATAACTAATAATTGGTCATTGATGTAGCCTATTTTATATATTAAAAAAGATGTTTCGGTGTTTGTACAGAACCTTAAGGAAACATCATGCTGCTCCTCTTACTGGGAATCGTCGTCGTGCATGTGGCAGCACTGGTTCTGCTCTTCGTATCAACTATAGTCAGTGTAAGTATTCTGAAGCTTGATTTATTAATAAAGATTATTAGAGATTCTCTCTCTCTCTCTCTCTATCTATCTATCTGACTGTTTGTCTATCTACAGTCTCTCTGATATTAAATTGACAATTCAATCAATTTGGAGTCGTTTATAAACTCAAACCCCAATCAGGCACTAAAACCAGCTGAAGCAGAATATTGTGGATGTGTTTAAGCCATGCTAATGAGTATTCTTAAATCTAACAGGCATGGGCTGTTAACCCCAACAGCAGTTCAGACCTCTGGACGAACTGCACCACATTGAATGGAGTGTCCAGATGTGACCCTGCTGACACTGGAGGTAAGATCCTGCTACATTTTTAGATTTGTTGAAGAAGGAATGTGTGATGAAACAAAAAATAAATACAAATAAAATTGGTGCAATAATATAAATTTCAAGATAGGGAAATGTCTGCCTCTCTGTAAGGGGTTAAAGAGCCACCCTCGGTATGTTACACATAGCACGTTCTTCACGGAGGGCTCGATCCTGGCATAACTGTCATAGCCCCTTCGCCTGTTTACCACACTTTGTGGTGGGTGTGCCCACTCTGCCTCACACCTCTGTACTGCCATCTAGGGGTGAGAATTCAAGCGTGCAGTTTCAACCCACAACAGACCCCTCTTCAACATAAGCTCTGTATAAATAGTCTGGTTGCCGGCGCTGAGCTCGGGCCCCTTGTTTGGGAGTGGAGAGTGCTGGGTTGCAAAGAGGTTCGAGAACATATGGGGTGGGGCAGAGGTAGAGCATTCAAAGCAGATTAGATTTAGACTGATCTGTCTGTAATGGCGTAGCATCAGATCGCCATAGGCCCGAACGCAGCATGATTTGAGTCACACCCACGAATCAAAATGCCAGCGACAGGTTTGTTAACACAAGAATGAAGGCAGTTTGAGAGAGAAACATTTATTATTGAAGTTTTTGTTAAAATACAAACTGATGTAGTCATTTTTTAGTTATCGTGGACGTGTAACGTGTATACCAGAATATTAAAGAAATAATGAAAAATGGTGTTCTTTAATGCATAAAATATAAAAAAGGGTATTTTTAAGTAATGTACATTCTCAATCAGATTGTTGGACTGTTACACTATTGGCTGTTCTTGGAGGGTGAGATGATGTCATAGTTCAGAGCGGGATACGCCTCTCTGTGCACTTTGGTAATGAGGCAGGACCAGAATGCTTTGCTGTGTTATTTCATAGCTCTCAGTCAGTTGGCGTAGCACCTATAATGTGGCGTGTTTGTTTAGGGCGTGGTGCGGGGGCTGGCACACAGGGTTTTTCTGTCCCGCTCTCCTGCGCTCGCTCACGTGTCACTGCTATGCTGCTGGGAAAAGGCTGCTTTTCGGTTACTACTTGAGTTGATTTTTGATGGGCATTTAGGCTGTGAAGATAGTCTTTTCATTGGTGCATGTAATGACCAGATTGGTCTTTAATTAGAATGTTATAGATGATGTTTAACTTGCACACAAACAACAGCAGTTAAAATATGAATCTTCTTGTACACTACTGTAAGAACAAATTAAATTGATAGCAACCGTAAAGACTTTTACAGTAAATTGTTACAGAACATTTCTGTTTCAAATAAATGTTTTTTTTCAAGCTTTGTTCAACAACAACAAAATAAATTCTGAAATGCATTAGTTTCCACCAAAATATCAAGCAATACTACAGTTTCATCATTGATGATAATAGAAATTCAAAATCAAAAAAATGTTTTTAGCGTCCAATCAGCATATTGAATGATTTCTGAAGGATCAAGTGATGCTGAAGACTGGAGTAATGGCTGCTAAAAATTCAGCTTTGCATCACAGGAATACATTCTATTTTGAAATATATTAAAATAAAACAGATATTTTAAATTATAATAATATTTCTCAATATTTCTGTTTGTACTGTATTTTTGATCAAATAAATGCAGCCTTGGTGAGCAGTATAAGAGATTTTATGTTCAAAAAATCTCACTAACCCCAAACTTCATAATTCATGCGTTTTATGTATCAGTTAACAATAAGGGTGTACATGCCAACATTAGGTAACAGATTAGTCAGCATGAACAATATGTTTTTACAGTGTGTTGTAGAAATTGTTAATGTTAAAAAATGTAATGTTAAATGCTGTATATTTCTGCATTAGAAAAATATGAACTAACAAATGTATATTTATACATTTACATTAAATGTCTTATTTAAAAAAAAACAGCTTTGATATCTAATGCACTCACAGTCTAATGCATTTCTCAATAAATGGCCATCTGACATCAACTTGCATTCTTTACATCTTTAATAATGCAGGCCAAAAGTGACCCTGGAGCGCAAAACCAATCATAAGTTGCTGGGGTGTATTTGTAGCCATAGCCAATAATACATTATAAGGGTCAAAATTAAAAATATATATTTTATGACAAAAATCATTAGGATATTAAGTAAAGATCATGTTCCATGAAGATATTTTGTAAATTTCCTACCATAAATATATCAAAACTTAATTTTTGATTAGTAATATGCATTGCTAAGAACTTAATTTGGCCAACTTTAAAGGAGATTTTCTCAATATTTTGATTTTTTTTTGCACCCCCAGATTCCAGATTTTCAAATAGTTGCATCTCGGCCAAATATTTTCCTATCCGAACAAACCATACATCAATGGAAAGCTTATTTATATGATGTATAAATCTTTCAAAATTCAAAAGATTTACCCTTATGACTGGTTTTGTGGTCCAGGGTCACAAATGAAGTTGGCGTTCTGTAAAAGAAGTTGGCGATGAATAAAGAGGGAAAATGTTCTCCGTCTCATTACATTGGATAAAAGGCAAACATTCTGTGCTTCAGCACTAATAGTATAATTTATACTATTCAAGACAGATCAAGAGGTTTAAATCAAACCTGTGTTGGAAACAAGCAATCAAACCAAGTGCGAAACCATCCTAAGATCACCTGAATGGTGTATTTTACACCGGGAGTGATGTGGAACAGCTGGCATTGCAAAGCTACTCAACACTGGCAGCTAAAGCATGCATGAAATCCTATTCATCGTCCTGTTATAGAGAGCCATTTCATGGACCAAACTGGGGTTATGGCAGTCTAGTATCAGCGCACGAACTCAAAACCCTGTGTTGTTTCACGGTGCATATTTATCATCTGTTAAGCCACATTCTTCACACCCAGGACCATACGTACCCCCTCTAAATGCAAACACAAGGGCCCCGCTTTCCAAAACGAAACCTTCTGTCCTGAAATACAAATCCCTGCCTTAGATGCATGACTGCATACAGAAATACATAGGGTGTTGTCAAGCTCAAAATGACTACAGCCGCACCTTATATCAGGACACTCCAAATGTCACAACTCTGTGAGAGAAGATAAATATAGTAACTGTGAGTAAATAGACTGTACGAGGGGATGTGCTTCTATTTTTACTTCATTGTTGAGAGAGATGTATTGTATCGTTTGTATTGTGTGGGTGCAAAACACAGATAGCAGAAGAACCTATTTATGGATGCATACTAGAATACTCTCCTCACATGGTCTCTGATGAGATGTTCGGAGAAAAACAAATGCCATTTCCCTAGTTGTTTCCATTCTGAGATTGTTACAAGCACAAACCGTTTCTGGGCTTTTCTTGTCCTTTTAGGGTTATCCATGTGTGCCTGAGCTTTACGATTTTGCTGTTAATGAGATCATTGCCTAAACTTTGGATCATTCGTATTGCCAATTCTTTCCCACAAAAGTGCAAAGTAGTTGATTTGTTTATGATCTTGAGAGTCCAGGTTTATTCTAGGACCTGATCAAATGTTTCTATTCTATTCAATGTTTCTTGGAAGCAAGCAATGTAATATTGTAAACTGGCTTTAATAGAGGATCTGGTTTGTGCTGAAAGCTGGAGTAGTGGCTCTGATTTTGTTTTAATCTGTAGTAGGCCGATCTGATTTTGGGGTTTGACCGTTAATTAGTGGCTATAAGGGGAGCGGCAGACACAGCTGAATATGAGAGGAAAGAGAGAGAGAGGTGGAAACCTGATTCTACAGGAATGACCCTTGGATAAGAAATAGACATGCTGGACAACCCATGCATTCCACTTATTACTGCTTGGGCATGAAAGGTAGAGACTGAGATAGAAAGAGAGCTATGACATGTTCATGCTCACGCTTCTCCCTAGACATTTTACTGAATGATTTAGAAGAACAGCAAGATGCTTCCTTAAAGTTGAATAATGACAGAATTTGGTGAACTATCCCTTTCACATTTCACAAGTACAATTTTTTTCCAGCGGATGTACGATAAAAGCATTGATAGTCAATCAGAATGTGTCCTGCTTTAAAGGGATAGTTTCTTGTTTGTTTCCACATAAGAAAGTCATAAAGAAATGACGACAATGAATACAAGCCCATTCACACCAAGAACTATAACTATAAAGATAACTATATTAGTGGCCACACAAATAAACCTCTGTTATGCTCTCTGCCCCTTTAAATGCTCAAGTTCTTTAAAGGGATAGTTCACCCAAAAATGAAAATTCTGTCATCATTTACTCACCCTCATGTCGTTCCAAACCTGTATGAGTTGCTTTCTTATATTGAACATAAAAGAAGATATTTTAAAGATTGCAGGTAATCAAACAGTTGGTGGTTGCCATTGACTTGCATAGTATTTGTTTTTTCCTACTATGGAAGTCAATGGCAACCACCAACTGTTTGATTACCAGCAATCTTCAAAATATCTTCTTTTGTATTCAATATAAGAAAGCAACTCATACAGGTTTGGAACGACATGAGGGTGAGTAAATGATGACAGAATTTTCATTTTTGGGTGAACTATCCCTTTAAAGAACTTGAGCATTTAAAGGGGCAGAGAGCATAACAGAGGTTTATTTGTGTGGCCACTAATATAGTTATCTTTATAGTTATAGTTCTTGGTGTGAATGGGCTTGTATTCATTGTCGTCATTTCTTTATGACTTTCTTATGTGGAAACAAACAAGAAACTTCTGTGGAAAAATGTCTGCTTTCATGTTCATACTCTTAAAAAGAAAGGTTCCAAAAGGGTTTTTTTTTCACATTGGAGAACCATTTTGGGTTCCCAAAAGAACCTTTTAGCAAACAGTTCTTAAAATAACTTGGTGTTTCTAAAAGTAAAGAGCATTTTATTAATCTAAAGGACATTTTGTGCAATAGAAAGGTTCCATGGATTTTAAAGGTTCTTCATGGAACTATAGATGATCCTTTATTTTTAAGAATGTATAACGAAAGTCAAAGTTTTGGACCCCATTGACTTTCCTAGTAGGGGCAAAAACAGTTAAAACATTGTTCATAATATGTTAATGTTTAGTAGAAGACAGAAGTCATAGAGGTTTTAAACAAAAATGAGTGAGTAACTGATGACAAAATTAGCATTTTAGGTGAAGTATCCCTTTAAAACTCTATTGAGGATAACAATGGTAAAACAGAAACACTGAACAATTTGTGCATAATGCGGACATTCCAAAGCCAGAATACACGCTAAACATTAAACTAAAACATCTGCCATGACATTCCTCATCAATCCCAAACTCCCTCAAACCAGTCTCACAGCACGCTATTGACATTCAATTGATGGAAGAACATATTGTCCAAAGCTTTTGTCTTGCGAATCTGTTCACACTCAAAAGTTTTTATTTCGTTTTTTTTTGGAAAGAAATTACTTTTATTCAGCAAAACCAATTAAATATACACAAAAAAGACTTTTTATTTCAAATAAGTGCTGTACTTTTGAGCTTTCGGTTTTTCTATCGTTTATTCAAATAGAAATGTTCTAAAAAAATATTTCAAAATGTTATTGTTTTTACTATATTTTTAATTTAAAAAAGTGCAGCCTGGAGACCTAAGATGATTACAAATATTGTGATCAGCAATGTATGTGCAAAGCAAGTGAAATGTTTCCTATTATACAGGAAAGTCCTAATGCAAACATTTACTTTCCTGTCCACACATGCATGGAAGAGGCCGGAATGGCACTAATGCCAGGATAAAAATGACACACGGGGGGCTTTTAAAGCCATCAAATGCAGGTAATATAGAGTTAATGGAGCTCCTTGTAAGTTGCCGTGTTATGGTCCTGGTATGTCAAGAGAGGATCAATATCAGGTGCTGGTAACCTGCTAAGAGCTTTTACGAACAGAAATCACATTATGTGATTGCACAATGCATTAAGAATTCCTGGATTCTCCAGTGCTATTTATATCCATGAAACAGCCATCAAAACTTTAAATGCAACAACAAGAGTTCATTATGAAGCAATATTTGGTGTTTTGTTTTTTTGCAGACTACCTCTGTCATTATCAATAATACATAGATAAGTGCACATCTCCAATTGCACGCCAGTGTAAAAGTACAACCGGTACGTCTGTTGTGATCGATCGAGAATAGCAGATGAGAAAAGAAATAATGACCTGCTTAATGTCCATTCGTGATCATTTAAAAATGACAGTCTCCGTCCCAAGAGCAAAGGTTTTTATTTCTGCAAAGCTCAAACTGCCCTAAGTGGTTTCAGGAGTAAGGAAAATGCACTAATGTTTTGAAATGCTTTCTGTTTTTCAGTTTGGATCCAGGCAGTCCAAGCTCTCATGATCCTGTCAATCATCTTCAGCTTCCTGTCTCTCTTCCTGTTCTTCTGCCAGCTCTTTACTCTCCAGAAGGGCGGACGCTTCTTCCTCACTGGAGCCTTCCAGATCTTTGCTAGTGAGTATCGTGACGTCATGTGAACATCAATGGATCAGTTTGATTGTTTGCAGAGGCTAATAAGATTGACATAACACGCTGACATGCTCATGCAGTGTTAATGGAACCAAAGTGTTCGCTGTTGAAATGAAGGAGAGCGATACACTGCATATGCATTTAAGATAGCTGGCTCAGGTGATCTGAGATTAATTACCGTTTATTAATAAAAGATTATCTATGGGACATCTACTGATCTCCTCTGTTCCTATGGAGGTGTATTTGCTTTCATTCGGCGACATGAAAGACCTTTGGCCTTAGTCTTGTTAGTCTAATGAGTCCTGTCAACTCTCATTAAACCACAGACAGCACAGGAGAACCCTTTAATGCGCTCACTTCCTGCCGATAATTTGGTTACGATTTCTTAAAATTAAATTATGCGGCACGCAGAGTTATACATAGCCAAAACGAGTAAGCGTTTCTCTTCATTTATGAAAAACAATACGTGTAAGAGATCAGATATGGAGTTTTACAGTCATTTACTGTATTGTAACTGGAGCTAATGTAAAATGATAGCTCTCATTAGAAATGTTTAATTAAATTCTCGGGTCTTTGGGATGTAATGAAGACGGAGTATTATTAGAGATCATTACTGTGCCTGGATAATGAATAGTTCTGTGGGTGCCACGAATGCTTGATCTTTCAGTACATACTGAGGGCTTTTAGAGTTCATATCTGCGACTCGCATCAGAGAGGATGGACATTAATTGAAAGCTAAATGTCAGAGGAGAGCCGAGGGTGGAAACAGCACAAAGCCAGACAGTTACAGGTGCCCACTGAGTTGGCACCGGATACACAGCCGCTGCCACAAGATGAAATGTCAAGACTGGCACTCTGGGGGTGGTCTGTGGTCTGCCTGACATAAAAGAAAGTGCTGAAAGTGCCATGTCATATTTCCTCCCTCTCATGCATACCTTATAGTCAAGACTAGGCCAAGAACAGCATTTCTTAGGTAAATGCTACTTAGTAAATATTAGTAACAAGTAATTCTCAATTACAACACACATTATTGGATATTAAATTAATCTATCTATCATCTAACCAAATCAGCATATTAGAATGATTTCTGAAGAAACATGTGACACTGTAGACTGCAGTAATGGCTGCTGAAAATTCAGCTTTGCTATCAGGAATAAATTACATTTTAAAAAATTTTAAAATAGAAATGTTTTTTATCAATTATACGAAGCCTTGGTGAGCATAAGAAATTTCAAAAACAAAATAATCAAAAACTCTCTGACTCCAAACTTTTAAAGTGCCCCTGTTATGGGTTATGGAAGGTTCATATTTTGGTTTTGGGAGTCATGCAAGGTCAAAAAACACTTTCATTGTCTTAAAATATGCATTTATTTTTACCTTGCTTGCTCAGTGACTCCCAAACGATTTGCTCAACGATTAATTTTTCCAAACCCCTTCTTTGAGTGACACTAATCTGTGGTGATTGGTCCGATTGGTCGATTTCCATTTCATCATGCCTGATAAAGCAGCGTTTGTGAGCGCAGTGCTGCTTTGTGTACAGCCGATACCGGGGAAACAGCTATTTTTACTGCTCTAAAAGCGACACCTAGTGGCAAAGAATGAATTCGCATTTTCATTCAGACCAAGTTTTCCTGGGTCTGCACGCCCAACAAGTGGGCGGGCAATATGCTAATGCTTCATGTTGACGTCAACATGAAACGACTTGTGATTCGTTTTAAAAACGACTCGTTTCAATGATTCAGAGTCGACTCTTTCTTTTGAGAGACAATAACTTTATACACGGTGCACTTTCAGATCTAAAACTTTGCAGGATGTTTTCATTCACTTAGAGCTGTGTTACACACTGCATGAAAGGTCATTTTGAAAAATCCATAATAGGGGCACTTTAAAAGTCATATAAAACAGAAAAAATTGAAGTGTGGTGGGAATCATGTAAGGATAGATAGATAGATAGATAGATAGATAGATAGATAGATAGATAGATAGATAGATAGATAGAACATACAATGTTAATACGATGTTAAAAACAATGAAGTTTTCATGTCTGCCAAAAAATGTTTATATATATATATATATATATATACCAGATGTAACGAGACACACACCTTCCAAAACGTTCAACTTTTGTCTCATCAGTCCACAGAATATTTGCCCAAAAGTCTTGGGGATAATCAAGATATTTTTTGGCAAATGAGAGACGAGGCTTTGTGTTCTTTTTGGTCAGCAGTGGCTTTTGCCTTGGAACTCTCCCGTGGATGCTGTTTTTGCCCAGTCTCTTTCTTATTGTTGAATCATGAACACTGACTTTAATTGAGGCAAGTGAGGCCTGCAGTTCTTTAGATGTTGTTCTGGGTTCTTCTATGACTTCTTGGATGAGTCGTCGTTGTGCTCTTGGAGTAATTTTGGTTGGCCGGCAACTCCTGGGAAGGTTCACCATTGTTCCAAGTTTTCTCAATTTGTGGATAATGGCTCTGACCGTGGTTCGCTGGAGTCCCAAAGCCTTAGCAATAGCTTTATAATCCTTTCCAGACTGATACATGTCAACTGAATTGATTCTCATCTGTTCTTGAATTTCTTTAGATCGCGGCATGATGTGTTGCTCTTTAAGCATGCTTCACAGGTTCAGACAGGTTCTATTGAAGTGATTTCTTGATTCAACAGGTCTGGCAGTAATCAGGCCTGGGTGTGGCTAGTAAAATTTAACTCAGCTTTCTAAAATAATGTGGTTAATTGCAGTTCTTTCATGATTTAACAGGAGGGGGCAATAATTTTTTCACGTAGGGCCACGTAGGTTTGGACAGCTTTTTTCCCTTAATAAATGAAATCATTAAAAACTGCATTTTGTATTTACTTGCATTATCTTTGTGTAATATTTAAATTTGTTTGATGATCTGAAACATTAAAGTGTGACAAACATGCAAAAAAATAAGAAATCAGGAAGGGGGCCAACACTTTTTCACACCACTGTATATATAAGGTAACATCAATTAATTTTTCATTTCTAGACAGTTCATTTTTCTTGTCTTCCTCTTCCCCCAGGTCTTTTCGTTATGAGTGGAGCTATCATTTATACTGTAATGAACTCCGAATGGGTCCATGAGTCAGAGTCCTATGGCTTTTCCTACATCCTGGCCTGGGTAGCCTTCCCTCTGGCGTTCATAAGCGGCTTAATCTACGTCATCTTGAGAAAACGAGAGTGAGGTGGCACTACTCTCTAGTGGCCGCCACCTGGAAATACAGCTTTGAAGCCAAAGTATCGCACTGCACCCACAGAGAAGTGAAATCACTCAGTATCTTCACCCAGGGGGTCAGTCAAAATCAACCCCGATGCCACCCCGAAAAGACATATTCAATACTGTCATCATTTGAAGATGTGTATATAGTATCTTTAGTTTAAAACCTATTTATAACACTTTTTACATACATGTACATAGTATTTTATGTTTGCTCTGTTGACAAAGAACCTCTGAGAGCTTTTCTTTTAGCTAATTAAGTGCCTAGAGTGTGTGTTTGTCGCAGAAATGTGCATCATTAGCCATAATGTGTGTTTGTCAATTTTTCTTTCCTTATAAGGCCAAAAATACTTATAAAAAGGTTTTTGATGTATTTGAACCAAAGTGCATGTATTCAATTATAGGGACAACGAAAGGAAGCGTTTTCAGTGAAGCTGCATTGAGAATTTAGAGATGAAGTAACACACTATATCATTAGTTTTGAAAGCTTTTATTAATAGTTTTTCTTTGTTTTCCAACAAAAAATGGTGCTATGTATTTACCATTCCTTTAACTAATAGCCATTTAGACTTTATTTAAAAGGACATAACATGACTGAAAGCCAAAATCAGAACGCTATTGAATATTTTGTACTTGTGCCTATAACACAATGCTGTATATACAGTACTCGTCGAAAAAAAGGTTAATTTTATAATAAAACAAAAAAAATGTGTTCTGAATAACATGTGGTTATTAGTTTAGATTTGGGAGATTGCGATGGAGGAATTGTAGTAAAAACAGAGACTAGGAATTATTGATTTTAGTTGGATTTTGAAAGTTACATTTAAGAGCAGTATTAGCAGCATGATTTGAGAAAGGCAGTAATTCAGTTTAATAAATGTCACTTATATCATCCAAATACAATTCAGATGTATAATGTTTGATGGATTTGGTCACTCGTTAGCTGTTAATATAATCGGGGCATTACATAATTAAACAGTTGAGGCGAACACCCTTCATATTCAAATCAGACAAGCATATAAATATAAAATAAACATGATCTAAAGGTATAGTTTTTTCCAAGTATCAAAATGACAGCTTAAAATCCTCTATATACACAATATATCCAGAAAAACATATTTAAAAGCATCCAAGTGGCAGTTTTGTTGTGTAAAAATGTGTTATGAACTGACCACTTATAACATGATGGCGGACACATCATAACACCTGCATGCATGGAAAGATTTTTCAATACTTGAAATATAACATGCTGCGATGTCTACCATTTTTGAGATGCTCCGTTTCTACTCACATAACTCACAGTAATTCCCAATGTACTGTAATAGCATGTGATTGTATTAAAAGAGACACGTATTACTTACAATTAAAGGCCCTATTCTGAGGACCATGTATTAGATTGCTTCTCATGCAACTCCAAAAACAATAAATGATGTTTTGTTATGATGAACTGTTCCTGTTGCCTGTTTTCATGGTTGGAATGGCCTGATGAATGTCTAACTAAATCCCCCTCTGCCTTTTTTTTTTTCTGTGACTGAACGAACAACTTTTATGCAAAGCAGAATAATTGATTTTACCTGCAATAAAACTTTTTTTTCTTGTGTGTAAAGGGATTTCTGTATGTAGTGATTGATAATCCCCTTAAACATATTAATATATATATATATATATATATATATATATATATATATATATATATATATATATATATATA